AAAAAAAAAAAAAAAAAAAAAAAAAAAAAAAAGAAATAAATGTTTAAAAACGAGAAAAACGTAAGATTACTAGGGACCAGTCGCAAGTTGTCATGCTAAAATAGTAGTAGTAGTATATTAGTAGTAGCAGTAATAGTAGTTTTTTTTTATCGCGCGTCCGACATTAATAATTTTTATCCACGACTGAGCTATAATAGCCACTTTATTCCCTGAAAAGCAGGACTAAAGTAGCATTTTATTCCCGCATATTTGGTTTTCCCGCAAATTTACTTTATTTCCGCATTTTGCGGAAATAATGAACTTTATTCTCGCAAATTTTTGAAAGTTTTGAAAAGGTGAAAAATTTAAAAATTTTGAATTTTTTGAATATTTGAAAAAACGTATATTTCCATCATAATGACGATGGCTGATTTGCTTCCACTTTTCAGGGAATAAAGTGGCTATTTTAGCTCAGTCGTAAATAAAGCACTATATGTAACACGAGAATAAAGTCGGTTATTCCCTCGGGTGATTTACTGCCCTCGCTTGGCTCGGGCAGTACACTCTCACCCGCGGGCATAATCAACGACTTTACTCCCTTGTTGCATAATGTACTATTATAATCATCGTCGTCGGATCAACATTCAATGCGTTTATCTCAATCGATGACAGTTTTAATTCGTGTTTGGAATTTCTGCCAATGCCCGTGTTCAGTCGCTAATACATCCCTCAAGTCGTCGTGCTCAAGTAATCCTCTAGTGGTTAAGGTAATTGTGTAATTTTTCTCTCTCTCGCTCACTTATCCGAGATAATAATTCTTTCATTTCTTTCCCTTTCACTCTTTTAATCCACCCGGGCGTTATCACACCTCGGGTAATGATTACAGAATTATACCAGTCGTGCTACGACTACCGATCATTATCATCTTTCTCTCACTCTCTGACCAATCCCATACACGTTTCTCGTCTCTCAGTCATATTACCATTCTTGTCTTTTTTTTTTAAATTCATATATCCTATCGATACTCGCACACCCAGCAAATATCATGTAAACATATTAGTCGCTATTGATCAGCACGGCGGAACACACTTTGATCACCGTCAGGATTTCCATTAGGTTTCCTCGTGGTATTCGAATTTTAATTAATGAACATAACCTCCAATTCAATTATTTCCAATTACCTCACATTCTTTTATTCCCATCCATCTAATCTCTACACGCGTATTTATACACGCATCACGCATCTCACACTCATAGACCCACACACGTACCACTATCATTCTCCGTCACGTGACGTTTCGTACTAATTTTCTTTTTCTTTTTTTTTTGTTTCATCTCCATCTCTTTTCGGTCCATTCCGTTATACACTCACTCCACTAAACTTCATTAAGACCTAGCATGCTTAGAAAATACTTGAAAAACGAGTCTATTGGAAGGTGGCTCTGTTCGGCTGCGTTCGTCAGTGTACTGTACACGTACACCCGTCAGCTCCGACGATTATTAAGCGTGTCCCTCGTAGCCACTGTGGACGTCGGCGTCGGTGATAAAACCGACCCCAAGTTCGACGTCGTCCTCGTCCCCGTCCACGTAGATCGAGTGGAGCTCCAGTTAAATAGGTTTCACTCGCAGTGCGCTGGACTAGAGCGAGTCCGCGCTCCTCGCATAACGTACCACTCTAAAGCGTCGCGACGGAATATTAATTAATCCTCTTCGATTTATTATTATTATTATTTTTATTTTTTTTTTTCTTTCATTGGAGACCGTTGACCTGTCAGCCTTCAGGCTCGACTAAGTCTAAAATTTTTACTGGCCAACCGTGAGAAGCTACCTGGCCACGGTCATCTGTCCTATCTAGTTTCCCATTTCCGTTTTGTTTCCTTGTTTCGTTTACGCATTATTCTTCTTCTCTAAAATTTTTTCTTTTTTTCGCTCTCTTTCTCTCTCTCGCTCTCTCTCACGAGCCACGTGTCTCCCTGTTTAAGCAATGAGCTAATCGCGCTATACACTGCATTACTGCCATGGTCATTCGCCGATAAAGGCATCTCTTCTGTACCGTTACCAATTTTTTTTTACAATCCTACTATCATCGTCTCTCGCATATCGCGGGGTTTGTCTTGCCCCGTGGTATCGATTATCGTAAAGCGGGTAACGACGTAAAGAAAAAGTAAGAAGAAAAGGAGATAAAAAGAAAGAGAGACCTGAGAAGAAATTGAGATGGTAGATCCGCGAAGAAGAAGAGAGAGGAAGAGAGGCAAAACAAGTGAGACTGTAAAAGAAGACACAGAATCCGGCGCGAGTGTGATGCGAAAGGAAAAATAAAAGCGTATCAAAGAAAAAAAGAGATACGCCGCACGTACCAGTTAATCATAACAATTAATAAAGACTCCACGATTTTAATCGTAAGGACAACATAAAAAACAACAATATCACCTAATAATTCGCTATGTTTCTTTTTCTTCTTCCTTCGTTACTACAAAATAATTTTACGCAGCGGCAGCTAGCAATTTTCCATGATTAAACATCGCACTACGATTCTCATTCTTTTCCACCTTCATCGACTTTCCCGGCTCCGTTTTTCCCTCTCTTCGTATAACCAGCGTTCAGGTCAGTCGAGCTTGGTCTATCTACAACCTTCGATAGCAGCTTTTCTCGGGTCCGGCGGACAAAGCTCATCGAGCGCGTGATAATGATAATAAAGGGAGAGAAAAAAAAAAAGAAAAACAGGATCCCTAACCTTCTTTTCAAGGTACTAACACGATCGTCGATACCAGCGAAGTGAAGTACGGGCGCGTGGGCACGTATTCTCAAACAGAACTGACTGAGGCGACAATACAATCGTAATAATAATAGTAATGATAATATAATAATCATAATAGTCTACTACCGAGGCAGGCTCGAGTATCGAACGATCCTTAAGCCCGAAAAAAAAGGCTGAGAAACCGTCGATCGCACTCGCGGAATCCTCTGACAATCTCTGGCGGGAGACACGCGGCCTATCATTGGTGGGCTTGTCGTGGTCTTGCTGATCGGACCGTATGCGTGGAGGGGATAGACATTCTTCCGTTGGCATCTTCGTCGTAGTAATCATCCTCGTCTTCCTTGTCCTCTTCATCATCATCATCTTCGTCATCGTCGTCGTTATCATCCCCTGTGCGTCGCGACAGCAATAATATCGCGTGGTGGTTGTATTCGTAGTTGTGATCTTGACGTGACGTCTGGCGACCACTCGTTGGTTACCTCCTGTCCCTGTAGAGGAGGTAAGTCTTCATCGCCTGGGGAAGATTAAGCTCGTTGATCTTGTCCTCGAGTCGATGCTTGCCGATCCGCTGTCGAATGACTCTTCGACAAAGATCCATCAGGGGCAGAGGTTCGGCTACAATAACGATCCAATCATCAGTAAAGTGCTATCAATTTGACCTGAGCCAATCGCACAGACAAAACACGATACTCACGATCAAGTCCACCTATATACTTCATGGTGATCTCACAGTGACCCCATACCGCAGACACTATGGGATGCAATTTCCTACCCTTGAGACCTCGAAACGCTATACCCAGGTACTGGCCGTCCACGACAAACGCTAGCGTACCCTCGTCCATGTCCAAGACGGCTGAAAGAGATAAAATTGTAAGGACGGATCGGCAGAGTCCGGTAGCTGCCTCTGGCCAGGGACGTACAGTCGCATGGATTAAAAGGGTGCCTCCGACTCACCTAAAAATTTGTCAGGAACGATAAACGTCTCGTCGGGTTTGAGGAGCGCGGGGTACGTAACCCCGTTGTTATTTTTCGAATCGTGATAGAGCTTATTTCTTCCAAGATCCCAGCCCCAGCTCAGCTCGTTATTCCCTACGAGGCTCTGATAGCCGACACTGTGTAAAGGCGCGTCCGCAGTTGCGACCCCGACGACCGCATGGGTACCACGCTGTCTCGTGCTCCAGTGCAACTCCCATACGTGCATCCCCTTCGTGTAGCCGACCTTCCCTCGTATGCAGTCGGTGCTTTGTGCGACGGGGTGTCGATGAAAGGTCAACTTGTCGTCGTCCTACAAGAATACAAATTTCATACAGTTAACGTACGGACGGTCCCAGAAGACTTTGACCCGGGTCAAATTTTTTTTTTTAATTTATTTTATCATCACGATTACGTATAACCTCGTACGAACCTTAACGAATATATTGAGACTCCTGTCATCGGCGTTCCAGCTGTGATGAACCTGGGTCTCGCGCGAGGCGGGTGGCATATCGAGGAGGACGTCGAGACGCGCCGGTCTTGAGAAGTCCTGGGCGAGCTCTCGCGGCACTACAGGTTTGTAAGCCACAGCACCACCTCCGCCGACGCCGACGCCGCCACCCGCCCCCGCACCGCTTTCGCGCGTCACGCTCTTCACGCCGCCTAAAAAACCAATCCTCGTGTAAATTGTAAGTTAATAAGGAGAAAAGAAAAAAAAGTAAACAGAAAAAAAAGAATTTCAAGCGGATGGTTCAGTCACCTCCGTGCGTGGGGGTAGGGAACTTTGCTGGGTTGACCCGACCCTGTCTGACTTTCCGTATAGCCAAGGGGGCTGATCCCGGCGTTAGAATGCCGTCGCGTAAACTAAGATTAGGGAAGCCCCGAGTCCTTCCGTCGTTTCAGGAGCCCCAAGTAACTTACGAAGGGTCGTGTACCCGGACGAAGGTTTATTTGCTCCCGCAGCTGTCTCTACGGCTCGACGTGCGGTTCTGGAGGGTCTCTGGAAAGGGACCCTGAAGGGACCCCAAAAAGGGACTAGGAGAGGATACGAAGGGTCGTCTACCCGTAGGGTTCAAGAGTAGTGGAAACACTCGTACGACCCTAGCTAGGAGAATCGCCGGTCCTTTCTACGTTATCCTTCAAGGGTATCCTGAGCTGGCTCCCCGACCGTCTTCGAGATAATACCTTCGATCGTATATTCGTCCCTCGACATAAGGGTATTAATAAATCAAGAAACTTCTCATTTTTATTGCTGACGATCGACAAAAATCCCACCACGACGATTCTAACCATCTTAAACAATAAAAATAACGACGCGATAAACCAATAATAATAGAAATCCTCGAACAAAGGGCCCTGGGTCAAAAAAAAGATGGATATTTGATTTTCAAAAAAAAAAAAAAAATTTCCCATCTCAAAAAAAAAACACGTCCCTCGAATAATCCCACGGTACCATCAACCTTCTTTTTTTTTTTTCCCCTATATCTAACCTGAAATCTTTTGGCCCATGTTCATGCCCCGATGGTGGGAGCGATGATGAGGGTGATGCCGGTGATGATGGTGATGACGGTGTTCGATGCACTGTTTGCCGGCTGGCAATTTGTGCCTATGGTGCCTCGTGCCGGTGGTACTGTGATGATGATGGTGGTGGTGGTGGTGGTGATGATCTGTGCTCGGTGGTGGTGGCGGAGCCGCCCCCTCTATAGCGCCCCTGCCGGGGCTACCCCCTCCACCGCCTCCTCCTCCCCCCAATCCTCCGCCTCCGCCGCCGCCGCCGCCGCGGCCCCCTATCACTCCGCCGCTCACGAGGCCCCCACCGCCGGTTGCCCCGCTAGTGCGGCTGCCGCCCCCGCTCACGCAACGATTCGCTTTATACCTGCAACCAAAAAGACACTCGTTACGCAAAATTAACTTTCTAATGCCTCTCTAACCGTTGTGCTATCCGCGTTTTTACCTCGTCCAAGTCGTTTTAACGTGACTTTAACGATTACACCGAATCAGCACAGTGTCTGACGGGTGAGGAAAATAATTTACACTTTTTTTTTTTTTTTTTTACAAAATTTTCAAATCACCAACCGGTTAGTAGAGGCAGTAAAATATTTTCGATCGAATGAATGGGACGTCGTACTAGACTCTGGCCACGCGTTATACTGGTATATACATTCATTGACGTAACAGCTACTTCCGCTGTGGTTAACTTCCGGCCGCAGATACCGGACAGGATTGCGGGGTCAATTTCGTCGTAGCGCAGAGATTAGTCGACGCTGTGAAAAGCCATAGCTAATTTGTATTAATTCCCAAGTTGATCAAACTAATCTCCCGCTTAAACAGTCCCGGCTTCCACCTTCGTTTCCATTGCACCGTGAATACAGTCGTAATCCGTAATGTCGAGGACTCGCCAAATCGATCGAGCCTTTCGAATTAATGCCGACTGTTACGACAAGCGGAAGCGCACGGGACCGATGCTCCTCGTGAATTCTCGGCATAACCCAGTCGACGAATGGCCATACAATTTAAATTCGATTTACAGATCGACTTTGATTTAACGTACAGTCAAGCCAACAAGTAACGTATCGGTAATCGAGATCGATCGCGAGGATCGTCTAAGCAAGTATCCTCTGATCAGAAGCAATCAAGCAGTAGACGAAGTTATTACAGACTGTGTACGAGAAGATTGGCAGATGTACTTTTTATCGGCAAGAAAAAAAAAAAGAAAACTTTCAATTCCTCCTAAAAGCAGCAGCCGTCGCAGTCAAACTTTAGAAACGGAAAGTACCCCGGGATAAGTTACGGATGGATCATATCTACCAGCTCGTATACGAACCGAATGGAGGCAGAGAAAGACAAAATTTAGTTTTTCGGGTAAAAAAAAGCGAAAAAAAAAATTTTCAAAAAATCCTTAAAAATAAAAAGTCATTGCCTCTCGTCTCCGATTTCCTCGGTTCCTCGACGAATCTCCGAGAATCGAAACGCCCCACGACCGATTTTCGGATTTTTCTCCAGCCTGTCTCTTCTGCCATCCAGGAGCGAACGCGAGAGAGAGAGAGACAGAGTACCCGTGGGAAAATTCAAAATCCGACCGTAGGATCGGATTCTGCGGTGAATTTTGACGGTACGAACGCAAGCACGCTTCGTTGGAAAGGTTTGGACGGTGAATGTGCCAGAGGCGCGACTGCCTGTGGTATTGATCCGTGGCCTCTCTCACTCTCTCACTCTCTCGGCCACCCTCACGTCCCACCCCCCTCGCCACCCCAACAAAACCCAACTCAAATCCATCCCCCTCTCGTACCACCGTATAGCCCGTTCCACCCGCGCAAGTAAACCGGCAAAAATCTCCCGGGCTAAAATTCGGTCCTTACAGAAGGGGGAGAGACAGAAGAGGGAGGCTCCCCCCCGTCGGCCGAGTATCGCTTTTGGAAATGCCCGATGAGAATTCAAAGGTTTTCTTTTGCGTGGCGCCCGTAAGAGATTCGTATACGGGTAACAAAGCCTTTTTATCAGAGAAGGAGGAGAGACCAGTGAATAAAGCGAGAGAGAGAGAGAGAAAAGAGAAATAATTCATCGAGCACGCATCGATGCAACGGACGAGACTAACCTATGGGTATGGCTTTACTTTTTTTTTATTTTTTTTTTTTCACATTTTCGTGCAAGAAAAAACGTTGACGTTCGAAGTAAACGAGATCGATCAAACGAATGTGGATAACGGTACTGTCATAGTCAGCACGCACGGTACTGCCAGTCGCGGTCTGTTGATAACTATTGGAACGACTGTACACGTTAGAGCCTCGAATTATTTTATAGTGAATAAAGTACTAGGGAATTTTGAGAAAATTTTATTTCCCTTATTTTTATAACAATTAATTTTTTTTTTTTTTTTTTCTATATGATAAACGTATTTAATGAAGATTACATAATTATGGCAGACGAGTGTATTTTTGAAACTTATGGGTTATTTCAAGATAAAGTTTAACCCGTAGGCTGATCATACGTAAAGGTCGGTTCATACGCTGATGTGCGTTTACATGGTATCGCGTTTAGAAACAGCTGACGAGTCCGTCGCCCTCGCACCTGTTCACCAGCTGCAACGACAAAGGCCGTACCGTGATGTTCAGTGGGCCCCGCGCCTAGGCCACTGCCGCCATAAGGCCCCTTGGAAGCTGAAGCCATAGTGAACACACAGAAGGCTTACGGCCACTTCGTTCTAGTTCGCATCCACTTCCCATATTCGCCACTCCCTGTTGTTCAATAACTAATAGCTTTATGGTCCCGGGGGGGCGGGGGGGGG